TTGAGGAGAACATGTTTTGGGGGCCTGCCATAATCACTTCTTCTAGAGGCTTCTGCTGCAGTCAGAGCTGACCCAGGGCCTCCCCTTACATTTAGGATTTTGGCTTAAAGCCAACCACTTGATAAGCAGCCCCAGAAATGAGCAGCATTTAACATCAGCTGGTCAGTTGAACTGACAGCTCCCTTTCAGAAACTATTCAACTAGACTAAGATACAATGACGTGAAAACAGAAGTTTCTGATCTTTCCCCTGTTCAAAAACCTGAAAAACTAAAAAGGCAGAGCAAATGCAGTATTTTTGCCTTTTTACTTCTATCTTTAACTTTCATTATTGCAAAGAATCTAAACAGTCTTTCTTGCCATTAATTCCACTTAAATGCCCTCGAAACTTTTACTGCTATGTTGTCATGGTTTGGAATGCAGAGTCTGAGGTATCTGAGGTTGTTTTAATTCTGTAAAAATGAAAAGGGAAGCTAGGCAAATACTGAAACTTGCAACCACAATCCCTCATCACTTTGCTGAACAAATTTTCTAAGATTAAAATAGAAAAGGCACATATCATCCTAGGAAAGTGGTGTCCACTGCCAACTCCTCTTTTGGGCTTCTACCTAGCTCTATTTCTGACACAAGTCAGAAAAGCCCTCAACAGACAGTGGGGAGTGGGACACATGGACAACTTGGAAACCATCACACTTTAATTCTGGGCTTTCTTGGGCATAGGAGTAGCTACAAATTTTCCTAAAAAACAAAAGAAGCACACAGTTATTCAACAGGAAGAATAAAGTAAAACAACAGATAATTTAATCATATAAATGAAATCACTTTCCTTTGCTCCAGGTAGCCCAGGCATTCATTCAAGTTCACTTGCTATCAGAAAGAAAGGGTTTTAGTATCAGGAAGAACTTCTCTCTCTTCCAATATCCACATAGAAGACCAGAAACAAAAATCCACCATGGAAGAAATCCCAGAATAATCCAATTTGGAAAGAATTTAATTAACAAAATAAAACAGAGGGAAAATGGTCCAGGCTGGGCTCTGGGAAAAGGACTCCTGTCCGAGGCCAATGTCCGTGCAGCACACCAGCAAGCCCTGGGGATAGTCCTAGGATCTGTCCCCACAGAACCAGCCTCAACAACCAGAACCACGCTGCACAATGGCATGTTCTTCATACGCACGCTCATCATCAAGTACAGGTATTAAAAATCCCAAATAAACGCAGTTTGTTATAAAGTGGCTTCTAGCTCTCCTACACTGGCTTGGCACATTCATGCATGCAAAGCAAGGAGGTTTTGAGGGCTTCACCAAACAGTTAATTTTGGCAAAAAGAGAAAACAAACAAAAAGCTAAAATTGATAAGCAGAATTAAAAGCCACTGAAGTGAAAATGATGTACTTTCTCAACAGTATGGAGTTAGACTACCACTACGATTTTTTTTTTTTTTTTTAAGTCTCTGCCATCCTTTCCCCCAATTCAGGTCAAAGTTCATACCAGCAATGCACAGTCTT